TGCTTTTTATAAGAGAGCTTTGAGTGGCCCACTACACTGCCTGTACATACAGCAATATACAATACAAAATATCTATGATCTCACTCCATATGGCTAAAAACAAACATTGCATCACAGGATGTATTAAAGAATGAATTGAAAACACTTTACTCTGCACTGTAGTATATCTCAATGGTTTCTTTCCAAAGTAAATTTTTTGGCAAACATGACTTCATGTTGTTGCAAAATATAATAGATCCTTTTGCAAAATGAAAAGCTTAATGTCCCTTTTTTGTGTGTGTGTGCATTTGTTTTTGTTGGTTTTTTGGAGGGTTGTAGGGGGTGCAGGAGTTTTTGGGTTTGTGTGTGTTTGTTGGTTTTGTTTGGGTGTTTTAGAGTGACAGAGTGGTGGTGTGTGGTTTGGATTATTTTTGCTAAACCCTTTCATTCTCCTCCTTTAACCTTTCTAAAGTTCTTAAAATTTCTTGTCTTTAGTTCCTTTGCTTTTTTTTTTTTTTAAGTTTCATTGCATTTCCAAGGGGGACTACTGACTCCTTATAAGGGTTGAGTTCTATAATAAAAGCTGTGTGAGAAAAGAAGCTGCCATGCATCTTTGGATAGGTCAGCTGTTCCCTGTTGATTAATGTATCTCTGTTGGTAACTTCTGAAACACTGGAACCCTGTAAGGCTCTTCAAACACCTCACAAATCAGCCTTGCAGTTTTTAATGCTTCCTCTTTTCCCCACAAATGAGAACTTCCTCATAATATTTCTCTAAATTTTTTCTAAAGTCACATTTGCATGCAGGCCAATATGAGATTGCTTTCAGTATAAACTTACTCATCTATGGAGCTGTGTTAAAGAAATGGCTCAGTTTAGATCTGTTGGAAGAATAGGCTTTCAAAAAAGAGGAAATGCTTAAAACCAGTATGTGCATTTAACATAGACAAACAGATGCACACTGGTATGTGTAATGAGTTCTGTAATTGTTCTTGGGCTGCCAAATCAAGATTTCATGATACTTTGAAATATAATGCATCAAAGTCAGGAGTTGTGGGGTTTGTTCTACTTTTTTTGAGTTGGGGGGTTTTTTTGGGGGTGGGGGGATTGGTTTTTTGTTTGGTTTTTTTTATGGCAGGCCATATAATCAGTTAACCAAGTGATGTAATAAGTTTTAATACAACCTTAAAATAATGATCTCACCTGAGCTGGAGTTAGTGCTGCTTAGGGAAATTGCTGGTTATCATAGCCATGTGAAGAAACAGAAGCTGTTAGAAAGTACCTACCTTCTAAGAGCAAAAAGATAAAAATACCCATTAAGCTCATCAGAGTACCACTCAGAAGCTCCAGTTTAAGGGAGTTAGAAATTATGTTCTTATGACACAGCAGAAAAAGAAGAGGGAGTGCCATTTTGGAGGGGATATAGGCAGGCACATAAGACCTCATCTGCTCTATCAGCACATGGCCACAGCTGTTGATAGGGCTTGGAGCTGTTTATAGAAACATTCTGGTTTAAACCAGATTTCAGGTACCTGATGGATGTCTAGGGTTCTATTTAAACCATGTGCATTTCCTAAAGAAGGAAGCCTGCCAAGGTATGAGACCCTTTTAATTGACTGTTGGCATGTCTGATGTCAAGGGGTGATTTAAACAACAGAAATATGATTGCCTACACTATTCATACAGGGGCTGAGGATCTGTCAGTTTGGGGGTTTTTTGTTCTTGGCAGGGTGGTTTATGTATCTTCCAAAGTTTCCATTTATTTTCTAAAATATGTTCTGGAGATATACAGACAATGCTAAATAATAGAGTTTACTGCTATTAAAAGAAGAGCACAGTAAGGCATTCATATACCATTTTGTGATTTCTGTATGTTAGGCATGTACTCCATTGCAAACACTGCACTTTATTTGCACCATGTTGCAAACTGTTTTAGGTGTTAACCAGTACAGGACTCAGACTGTGCTTGTTTTCTTAGAGAGACATATTCCACATTCCTTTGTGTAACACCAGTGCCTCATGTGATGAAAAATAATAGCTTATTTACTTTTAATTATTATTCCAATTTGCTTCTGGAATAATCCAGCTGTAAAAGAGAAGCACATCACTCTCGTGTTAACAAATATTTTCTACTTTGATCTGTTTTATTGTATTCTATCCTTTTTCCTTTTGATTTATACAAACACCTGTTTTGTTAAAATCCTACAGTCTCCAAAGATCTTAGCATTTCATATGGTTGATTATAAGATTCTAATGGTTAAATTAGTCTCCTAGGGTTTGATGATTCAACTCTGAAATGGATCACTACATATGCAAATCTAATATGCTAAAGGGAAAATAGAACAGTTATATCAGGGACTTTTCCATTTATATTCTTTTATAACAGCAGAACAAGGAAAATTACTTCATGTTATTTTGTCTAATATGTCTGTATTTGTATAGTTTTTAATCTTAATGTTTTTTGCTGTGATATCTACCTGTTTGTTAATTGCATAAATGCCAATGTGCTAGTGATTCTATGAAGAAAAAGGGGGAAAGATGAAAATACCCATTTAAAAGTAGCCAAGGAACTCCCTATTTATTTATTCTATTCTAAAAATGCAGTTATTTTGGAAGTGTGCCTGTTAACTATTACTTAAAAATGTTAAAGTTGAAAGATCTGCAGGCTGAAATTCTCTCTCTCCATGAAATCAGGAGGGTCATTGTCAGCAGTTCTCATTTCATTCGTGTTGTTCTGCTAATACACCTTAATCTGTCAGGGGGGACCTGAGCTAATCACAGCTTTTCTGTCAAGGCTGCTGGCACAGCTTTAGGTTGCTGCTATTGCTCTCCAGGTTTCCTGATTTGGACACTCTCTTGCTATAATAAAGTTATTAAAAAGACAATACTCATTAAGTATCTTCATAAATACTATTACCTAGAGATACCATTCTGAAGCTAATCTATATCTTGGTTTGTGTTGCAGGGTGCTGGTGGCAGGAAACGTTGAATTACTGGATTCAGCAGTTTTAGGGCTTCTCTGTTTTATGCTATCATTTCAAGCCTCAACCTGTTGAGAACTTGCAGAATTTTTATTTGCTCTGCTGCTGATTTACCCTCATCCTGAAGGTGAAGGATTTAGATCTAGGAGGAGTTGATCTAGAGGATTGCTCATGAGATATGATTTTTCACTGAAATGTATGTGACCCTGTCGTGGTTTAACACTGGCCAAACACAAGGCACCCACGAAGGCCATTCACTCACCCTCCCCTGCTATAGCTGGGCAGAGAAGAGGAAAATTAAACAAAGGGTTCATGAATAGAGATAAGGACCAGGACAAAACACTCCATGGGCAAAACAGGCTCATCTGAGAGATACAAAGTGAATTTCTTACTAACAAAATCAGAGGAGGGTAATGAGAAGTAAAATAAACCCTTAAAAACACCTTTTTTCCCCCCCCCAGCGCCTCCCTCCTTCCCACCGACAGTGCAGGGAGACAGGGCATGGGGATTTGGGTCAGTTCATCCCTCGAGATCTTTTTCTGCTGCTCAGGGAGAGGAGTCCTGTCCCTGCTGCACCCTGGGGTCCCTCCCTCTGGAGACAGTTCTCTGTGAACTTCTCCAGTGTAGCTCCAGTCTCACCAGCCACTCTCCTCCCAAAACTGCTGCAATGTGGGTCTCTCTTTCCATGGGGTGCAGCCCTCCAAGGACAGGCTGCTCCAGCCTGGAAGCAGGGACCCCTCTTTCCACCGGGTCTCCCACTGGATCACATCCCCCTCCACCTGCTCCAGCCTGGGCACCTTCCCCACGGGCTGGGGGTTGATCTCTGCATTCCTGTGGATCCCCAGGGGCTGTGCATGGATCTCTGCATCCCTGTGGGTCCCCATGGGCTGCAGGGGCACAGCTGTTTCACCATGATCATCACCACAGCCTGCAGAGAAATCTTTGTGCTTCTTCTGTTGCCTGGTTTTATATATTTTATCTTTTAATATTGAAGAGAAACAGTGCCACATTTAATAATCCTAAACTTAATCCTTAATATTTAGTCCTTAATTCCTTAATATTTAAGGAATCATGGTGGGGCTGATTGTTTCCATGTGCAGCATCAGTGATTGGTTTCACGAGCAGCTTCATGAAAAGTGGCAAAAGGATGGCAGGTTATGCAGTAACCATGTATGACAAGGTGACTGAGGCAAAGGCCCTGCCAGCAGATTTGTCATCACAGAAAACTGAAGTGATTGCACTGACAAGAGCCCTAGACCTGAGCAAAGCAAAGAAGGTAAATAGATTGACTGACTCTAAATATGCATTTAGTGTTGTCCACGCCCATGGAGCCAAATGGAAGGGGAGAGGACTTCTGAATGCTCCAGGTAATCAAATCAAACACGCTGAACAAATACTCACCCTCTTGGAGAGTATTAAAAAGCCCGCAGAGGTAGCCATCATGCATTGTAGAGGTCACCAAGAAGGGAAAACCACTCCAGAATTGGGAAATCGTTTTGCTGATAAAGCAGGAAGAGGAATTGCAGAAAAAGGTATTCTCATAGTAATTCCACAAAAAGATATTGATTTGTCAGGGTTCACCCCAAAATATGACCAAGCAGACCACAAACTAATTAAGTTTCTTAAAGCTGAGATCACAGAAAATAGATGGGCTGTTACACTAGCAAATCAGGCTGTAGTCCCACCCTTGATCCTTCGGGAGCTGGCAGACACGAAAACACACATTTTGGGGTTGAAAATCTTCTGAAACATCTAAAAAAGGTAGTAATAGGAAAAGGAGTGATTGACATCGTACAATCAATAGTGAGCAAATGTGAAATCTCCTGTAAAAACAGCCCTGACACGAGGAAAAGAGATGTATTAGGAGTGACAAAGGTGGGGGATCTTCCTGGAGATTACTGGCAAATAGATTTTGCAGAGTTACCACACAAAGAGAGATACTGGTCCAGACTGGTATTAGCTGACACCTTCAGTGGATGGCCAGAGGCTTACCCCTGTCACACTAACACAGCCAAGGAAGGGGTGGGAGTTTTGTTCAATCACATAATTCCAAAATTTGGGATTCCCTTGGGGATGTCATCAGATAGGGAACCACACTTCATTGCAACAGTAGTTAAAGAGGTTAGCTGGATTTGGGGAATTACTTGGGATCTGCATACACCTTATTGACCCCAAGCAAGTAGTAAAGCTGAATGTGTGAATGGGACTCTCAAAACACAAATTAGCAAACTTTGTCAGGAAACATCCATGACATTGGTTCAAGCCGTGCCTGAAGCTTTACTGAGAATCCATAACCAACCGAGACAGAGGGATAACATCAGTCCCTGTGAAATATTGTATGGCAGACCTTATCAAATTCCACATATTCCAAGTGAAATTCACGTGAAGGGGAAACTTGATTGACAGAGATATCTGATGGCTTTAGGTTCCACTTTGCAGAAGCTCCAGAATTACCTCGTGCTATCCACAGCCATGGGACTGGACACACCTGCACATCCCTTCCAGCCTGGGAACTGGGTCTATATTAAGGAATGGGACAGTGATCCTCTACAAGCCAGGTGGAGAGGACCATCCCAAGTCCTGCTGACCACCCTCACTGCAGTCAAAGTTGCTGGCAAAGGACCCTGGATTCACTACTCCAGAATTAAGAAAGCTTCTGCCCCTGAAACAACTGTAAAAACAGAAGCTGATGCAGACAAAAGTATTCTTTAAATGATTCCTCTTCTGTGCCTGCCTAAGGAACTGTTCATTATAATAATTATTTTTCTTTGCCTGACTGTGCCTGACTGTAAAAGATACTATTATTGTTAGATATCTATTGTTGTTCATTATTGTTTATTATTATTATTGCTAATGTTAATGAATTACTTATCTATTATTAGATATTTACTGGTAGATATATACTGTTATTAGATACTTATCCATTGTTAGATATTTATTTACTATTAGATATTTATCTGTTGTTAGTTACTTATTATTGTTAGGTAAATTGTTATAGATCTATTGTTAGATTTGTTATTAAATACCTATTATTAGTAGATATTTAGAATAGAGACTTTACAAGGTAAAGGCCTTGTCAAGCCTCTAAAGGGGGAAATGATGCCTTGGAGTTTAGCTTTTATATTTTTCAGATTCTCTGCTGTTTAATGTGTAACTCTGAAACTTCATCTTAGGTGTTAGTAGGTTCTCTTCACAGGTAGTTAGAAAAACAATCCCTTCCCAGCTAGAGAATTAAGCACACACATTACCCCAAAAAAGCATAAACAGCGTGGAAGGGAAGGGGGCAACCCGGGGGGCTGAAATTTCATAACCCTGAGCTGTGGTTGGACAATTGACCCCAATGTGCAGATGAACCAAAACTTACCAAAGTGTAAAAACTCATGACCAGGATCCACCTTGGATTTGACTTGGGTGTAGCCCTGGCCAGGCTCTTGCACTGCCCAAAGTGGATCCTTTCAATAAAAACCGATTTGATTCCGTTTGCTCTGCCTGGTCTCTGTTCCGGCTCAGCCTTCCCAGGCATCATCAGTAGCAAGTTAACCTCAGGAGGAACAGGATAAATCCTTGTATGCTAAGGCACCTGCTTGTGACTTCATCTTACTGCTGGCAACCAGGAATCAGGATACTTGAATATTGACAGTGACTCTGGGTCCCAACAATTCAGTGTTTCAGATCACCACTATCACTAATAGTAGTGCCCTTGCTAGACAGTGTGCTGGGGCAGTTTCTACCCTGAGTCATTTTCATCTGCAGCTGGATGAAATATAGCTTAACTTCAAACAAGAGAGAGGCTGATTTACAGCAGGCAGAAGTGTAGCTATATATTTCAAATATATTTTCAACACTGAGGTTTTCATAACTAAATGCCTATCTTTTTCCAGGCTTCCTTGAATGTGCAGAGTCTACAGAAATTCAGATCATACAAATTGCAGTACCAGAGAAAATTGTTCCAGCTGCCTCCTCATTCATTCATTCAACTTAGTCATCCAAAACACACCAGGAAGACTGTATAGGTGCCATAAGTATCTTTATTTTTCAAGGCTGTATCCTGCCTGGTCATTGACAGAGATTTTGTGACAGTTGCTTGCACTGTCCATAAACATAGAAATCAGTAGTTCCTGGTTTCTCCTCTGGTCCTTTGTGAGAGTATGTGTGCATCACTGCCCCTGGAAGAATGGCTATCTCCCAGTGCATCTCAGTTTCTCTCCTGTAAGTCATTACAAGGATATCTCTTCAGGGAATTATGTGGACACCTGGAAAAAAAAAAAGAGAATATCCTCTGGTACATGTTGTAGCTACAGTCTGCCTCAACTTCGTGCTACAATGAGCTAGCTAGATTAGAAACTGAAAAAATGATAGAAAAAATGAGAGAGAGGAGGAACAAAAAGATAATTTATACAAGCCAGAACCAGTGCAGAAGTAAACCTAGGAAAAAAGAAGACTGTTTTGAGGAAAAGCAAAGAAAAGAAGAAAAATACCTATTATGACTGAGACACAGACTCAGACTGGCAGGGAATGTGAATCATTTATTCAAAGAAATGAGCTGGTTTTATACACTTTTTCAAGGCACAGTATTTCCTTATATGGTAATTCCCACTCCATGACCTATCTCATGTTGCCATGTCAGCAACACGCTTCCTTAATGTCCTTCTGTGGGGTGACCACATGTAATTCACCCATCTGTCAGCTTCTGGCTGACCCCTCTGCCACAGGGCTCTGCCTGTGACACCTCCTGCCAAGGTCAGGCAGAGACAAAATGCTCTGTGCTGCCATGTGCTGCCATGTGCTGCCCTGTGCTGCCATGTGCTGTTCTGTGCTGCCATGTGCTCCTTTGTGCTGCCATGTGCTTCTGCAGGTGCATTCCACAGCCCACAGCTCAACTCCATCCCATCCCTTCCCAGAAATGCATGTTAGAAAGAAGGGACAGACAAGATTTGTATATCTGTCACTTTAGTAGCTGAATTTCCCATAAACTTCTATTGAGATCCGATTAGCTCTGCAGGGAGCAATATAAGTGGGAAAGCATTAGATGTAACTGAACTTGTGATAAATCTTCCTGCAGCCAAGCATTAGTCAGGCATATACTGATCTAATAACAAGTCATGATTACAGTTTAATCCTGACTGGTACTTTCAGAATTACGGATAAAATTGATCATTTAGTGTTGACTTCTACAATTCCCTAAGGTAACAGTATGGGGTTCTACAGTAGGACCCACAGCTGGTCTGTGGGCTAGAGAGGATTAATGAATGAGATTTGTTTTGAGAAGTATTCTCTGACCTAGGCTATTGGCCTGGAGACCAAGAAGAGAAGAAGGAGAAGAAGATAAGCAAGAAGAAACCTGAGCTGGGAAAAGTATTTTTAGAAAAGTTTTGTGGAAAACAGAAGCATAGATGGTTTTACACCAATGAACGTTATGTTGATCTATTGTAACCAATGGATAAAGTGTAAAATTTGTAGAGTGTATAAAAGACAGCCTGCTGTTGTAATAAATGGGATATTAGCCTTCTGAGACGTAGTGTGTTTATTTGTATGTCATGCCTGCCTCTATAGCGACAGGGTTCTCCTTAACTAAAGGAATTATTCAATTGGAGGCTGAAGACATATAACTGCACACTTCTGACACAATTGGGATCATTAATATTGTCACAGAAGTGTATGTGAACAGCTTCTAAATGAGGTACTAGTCACATCCCATGTAGTAAATTTCTTAACACCTTATTTAACATTTTAAAATCTAAGATACTAAGTTTTAAAACCAGCTGACTTTCTGATTTTCAGTTTGGAAGAATCCTTTTTGCCCTACTTTTCCAGATGTGATAGGCATTGCTCAAAGGCTTCATTCCTCTGGTGCCTGAAAGTAGAAATGCAGTATAAGAACATCTCTGGTGTTCTTCATGATGTTGGGTGTGATGAATAAGATAAAGTAATAATTTATATGTGTGGTTGTTATTACACCTTAAAAATTGTGCAGCTGGTCGAATAGAGATAAGATTGTTTCTTTTCCTATGGTATCTAGACTACATCTCTGTGATTCATTGTGGTTAGGATCTGTCATTTTTCATGGGTAAGCAAAACAGAAAATTAGGGAGCCTGTTTTCTTGAAAATTGAGATTTAATTGCCCAATTATCTCTCACATAAAATATTTTTTTGAATCAAAATTCAGTTTTCTTATAAAGCTCTTGATTTTCATTTCTTT